ACCTGGTGGTAAAAGAAAAAAAGAATACCATGTTGAAACAAATCACCTCCGGTGGTGGCAGATATGTCAGAAAACAATTGTCCAGTCAGAGCCACAGGTTTGTGAGATACCAGATACCAGCCAAAGAGTTTGCATCAGCATGTCTGAACGCATTGTCAAGCTCAGGAGAAACTGAACATAAAGCGAAGCAAAAACTCTTACAAATGTACAAACGGCAGCTGCTTTTCCAAATGTGACGAGTCCCAAATATTGCAGAAACTTAAAAGGACTTTGCCAGAAGTCTTTTGCAGCCATTTGCAGACCCCCAACACACAGACTTACACAAAGCTGCCAAAATATTTTAGCATCTGCATTTACTGTGTATGCAAGCGCAGACAGCATATATAGGACATGATGTACTGTATAGAGCAGACGACATAATGAAAACACTTTTCCCAAGGTGCTTGTCCGTGGTTGAGGACATGAATGCATCTTCACTAACAGACTTGTGAATAAGATTTTGAATAAAGTTCTGTCACATCACTCAAGGTCACATGTGAAGCAATCAAACAGACAGGGAGAGAAGGAAGGAGGGGGGAGGGGGGGGAAGCATTCAAGAAGCAGAGCACTTTGGCTGCGGCGAGCAGTGATGAAAAGACCTGTCTCTAAAAATGGACTCTTTTGTCCTGAGAGTCCGTGCGGAGCCACAGCAATCCAGGAGGCTTGTACGGGGGACAGGGAGAGTTATCAGCGGGTCAATTGTCCAGTTAGTCAATCCATACTATTGACTCGTGTATTGACTCACCATCCTTTTGATCGCTGCTCCAGGTGGAACTGAGGCAGATGAGTCCTGTGCAATCAATCAGCAATCACAGGTCCGGCCTCCAGCTGACTGTCGATTGGTTGCGCAAGTCTGATGTTGAGCGGAAAGGCCTGTTGGAATCAATGCACGCTCCATCCAGCATCAACACAAAGATTTCAATACATACACTTCCAAATACACTGCTGCTTAAGCTTGAAGTTCTATAGTCTTAATTCATGTCTCATCCATATATCCATTGAAATCTTTAAGGGCATCATTAAGAATGTGTGGTAAATGAGACATGTAGCAGGCCAGGTCTCTCGTCTTTAGAGGTCTCTCTAAAGGAAAAATTAAAAAATTAAAAAATATAAATGTATATATGTATGTATGTATGTATATACACACATACAGCCAGAGGACATGAGTAAGGGTTTCTCCATAGTCCCACCAACATTCAGGAGCTCCTGGTGAAAATCTAATTTGCTGGGTTGATGCTATGAAATAGCCAGTCTGAATTTTCTGTGAATCCTGTTCCATGTGACAGATGGGATGTTGTATCTCAGTTAAAATGGACACTGGAAGTCCAATCTTAAATATACTTAAGAAAAAAAGGGAAAAAGCATTCAGTAAAATATTTAGTTAGCACAGTATTTTGTGAGAAAATAGTTCAAACTCACACAAACACAGAAGAGTGTGACTGCTGACACCTGTAAGCTTCCACCAAAACAAGAAAATATCTATCCATGACGAGTCATTTTCTTGTTGTTTGTGTGTGTGTGAGACACAAAAAGTGCGTGTGCGTGTGTGTGTGTGTGTGTGTGTGTGGGTACACAGGAAATATGTGTGTGTGTGTCGGTTGAATGTGACAGAGTGCTTACTGCTGTAGCAGAGAAGTGCAGAGCGAGCGTCCGGGGGAGAGCCCGCTGAACCGTGCTGCCCAGGGATCACACGGAGCAGTCGCACCACAATGCACTGCAGCTGCAATCAATTTAGGAGAGAGGCAGTATGCGAGCGACTGGGTGAGTGAGTGAGGGAGACAAGGGGTAAGGGTGGTGGTGGAGGTGTGGTGGCCCGACGGTCCCATTATGGAAAGGTCACAGGTTTGATCCCCAGAGGAAGCAAAGACAAGACTTCCATTAGACACAGGACTCCTGCAGTGTTCGGGGGATGTTTAGTGACAGCAGCAAGTAACAGCAAGTATTAGTCAAACATGCTCAGACCAGTTAACTTGAACTCTCGAACTTACTTCCTTTAGAAAATATTAAATACCAAACATGTATGGAAGATCAAAATTTACTTACTTAAAAAAAAATATAAATTACATAACGCCTGCTGTAAATTAAAATGTTGTAAAAAAGTAAAAAAGCAAAACTCCATTATAGGATCTTCCATACACCTGTGGCAAGACTTGGTCATTGATTTTTCTTTTTACTTTATCTCCTACCTGTCCAGCTCTGTTTCTTTAATATCTGCTGTCTGCTCAAGACATTGATGAAATAAACAAAGAGACACCTGGAGTTCTGAAAAGAGAATGACTCAAATTTCAATTTATTATAAAACAGTGGAGGCCATATTTGCATTTATAAGCTGCTCTGATTACACAGTATAATGCAGTCGGAGTCACATAAAACATTGTGACTGAAAGAGCTTACAGCTGAGCCACTGAGTGAGAGATGTCTCAAACATATGCCACACACACACACACACACACACACACACACACACACACACACACACACACACACACACAGAAAACATGAGTAAGAATTAGATTTGCCACACTTGAGTGGGTGTTCTGAATTTCACTTACTTTCTAATTTTCACTCCCTACACTGCATTTTGGAAAAGAGGATAATAATAATGTGACTGACGGCCTGTTAAAAGCCACAATAGCTGCAAGAATGAACGATTTCTTATTCTTTTTTTTTTTGTTTAGCTGCTGATAAAATCTCCATGAATGATCACACTTAACATCAATGTCTGGTCATCGTTGGCTACTAGCCTCCAGACCAGCGCTAAGCACACATGCACACACTCATACGCAGCAGTTGCCTACTTATTCAGATGGATGGCAATCAAGCTCTTCAGCATGTGTTTATGATTATCATACAGCAGTCATTTTCTACTAAACATCAGCTTTAAGTTGCGTTACATATCTAATTTATAGAGGTTTAACTAAGTGCTCAATACCCTGTATTCACGAGGAGATGGTAGACATTGGCACATTGCCATTTGGCATCTTATTGCTTACAATAAGATCTTTCATTTGACAAGGATACCCACGAGTCCTCTCGCAATTCACGTCTATTTAAAGCCTAGAGAGCTTTAAGACAAATGATGCAGTTATGCTATCAGTTAATATCAGTATTCTTATCAATTGCACTAATTAGATAAACTGCTCATCATCTTCTGACCAGCAGTTAACAAAAATATCCACTTGTGTGTCGACACACTCAGTAAAGTGCGATATACAATACAGCATACATAAAACATACGAGTACAACTATATCGTTATCTGACATTTCCCTGATTTTATATTGTTTCTTTAACAGCAAAATGGCATGGGCATCTACAGCCTGCACATACACATACACACACCTGAACACGCATGCATTCAGAGCGGATGCAATATTCACACCCACTTAAAGTTTGCGGTAGCGATCGGCGGAAACATAAATTCTCATTAACAGTGTAATAAAAATAAAAAAAAAGACATAAATAGCAACAGTTCAAGTAAATAGTGTGACTCATTCAACAAGCTGCTCTGTTAGCTAACGATGAGCATGCGTCTGTATGACACAGGTAGTAGCAGGTATTCACAGTACATAAAGTGAGGCACATATACTGCCTTATTTTTCCTTCATTCATTAAAAAGCACGACTGCGTCTTGAGTCCTTGGGTCGATGAGTCATCCAAGCATTTCAATTTCAATCCAAGTGGCATCAGGTTCAGTTGCTGATTGTTGCTCAGTGTGTCATCCTCCTGTCACTTCCTGAGAGACGGACAGAGAGAGAGAGAGAGTGAGATGGTATCACAGGTACGTGGTTATTAGCAAAAGCTACGATGTAACTGCAAATTCTCTACTGAAAAGTGTAAAAAAGAGAGAACTTTTAAAGTTGCACTAATAAAAACTAGAATTACTGCCTCACGTTGGATGTTGTCTGCCTCTGCCACTCAGACTAGTTTCAGATTACATCCCTGTTTATGCAGGATCATGTAAAATATGAACCATATGTTTGAGATTTTGTCATAATTGCTGTGTAAAGTCTCGAGTTATGGCAAAAAAGTGTTTTGTGAGGTCACCGTGATCTTGACCTTTGACTTTTAGTCACCAAAATCTAGTCAGTGCATCCTTGAGTCCAAGTGGACGTTCATGCCAAATTTGAGGAAGTTACCTCAAGGCGTTACTGAGATATCGTGTCCACGAGAATGGGACGGACACACGGTCAACCCGAAAACATTATGCCTCTGTCTCTGACTGTCGCTGTCGCAGATGCATAAAAAACAAACAAACAGCAGACAAAGCTACAAAGGAGAGTGGCATGGTTCTTCTCATGTACTTCTCAGTTAGAAAGCAAATAAATATGTAAAATTAAGATAATGTTAAATACAAGGAACAAAAGTGAAATTAGCAAAGGAAAAATTCACATTGATAAGAGATGCCATGTAAACAAAAGTGGTCCTGAAATTGACCCCTGATGGACACCGTATCAGACTTCGCAAAATGAAAATGAAAAATTTGTAAATTACTCGTGAAATTAAGTTTCAAAGTAAAACAAAATGTGATAATTAGTACTGAGTTCAAGGAAATTTAATGTGTGAGAGAAGCTCAGGCGGCACGTCGGCACTCAAACTGAGTGTCTTCGCAGTGACAGGAGCACCAGACCGACAGGCAGGCGGAGGAAGAGGAGCAGATGGAGTGACATCATCATCCCATATGTGGCTGTGTTGTTAGAGGAACTCGGGAGAGAACTATTGCTGCATCATTATGTTTTGAAACTCAGCAACACATACACATGGGAGAGAAAACAGCTGTGATATACTGTACAGTGCTGACTGCCATACTGGTAATTGTCCACACCTACAGTTCAGAAGACTTACATACGAACCCAAACAAAAGGGACAAAAACTGGATGTTTTCTTTTCTTTTCTGGTATGTTCTTTTATTATTTGATTCCTAACTGAAGCACATAATAAAGTTTTACATGCTTAGTTTTACCTACCTGTTTTGATGTGGTCCGTATGTGTCCAGCATGACTGTGCTGGCCTGTTCCAGGTTCCACTGGCAGCGCTGCAGAAGCTCCTCACACTCGGCTCTGGACCGCAGTCCCAGCCGAAACAGCTGCTCCACCTACAATACAGACAGCGAGGAGAGTATTTTTTATCAGGAAGGAAGGCAAGGTGTTGAGTGTGGGCTGCTGTGTATTTTACTGTTGTATGATCTTGCTCATTTGCACTGTGTTTATATGTATTTTTAATTGTCCTGTCCATGTTGTAACTGATATTATTTTACTTCAACGTATGTTGTGAACATCTGGCCAGAAAAGGAAAGAAAAGAAGAACACTTTGCTCATCTATTTAGTGAGGCAGGTGCGTAGGAGCAGGATGGATGGATTTTGTTAGGTTTCATTCTGCAAAACATCTGGCCAGTGTCAGCAGACCAGATGTTGTCACCCCTGCTCTGGACCCTTTACTTTTTTACTGCACATGAATCACAGTATCATCTACAGTATCATCTGTTTTTGTAACGTGTACTGTAAAGAGTTTGTATGTGTGAACTCAGATCCCAGATTGTGGTCTTTCCTGGGAATTCTTACCAAAGACTCGCTTTACCCGGAGGAAAAATAGAAAAAGGTGCCAGGGTATTTCCCATTTCTGTGCTTGTGTGATTATGTAAAACAAGACTGTGGTATTTCTGGAGAATTCAACTCTCTTTTCTGGGACAGACACAAATTTGTGTGCTTGTGTGTCTGAGAGTTTGCATAAAACCAAAAATTATAATGATCGCCATTTAAATAATTAATTCATTACAGTCTTCAGTAAAATCAAACTTGTGGTGGGAAATTAGTTTTTTCTTGTAAAATAGTTCCTTATTTCCAGAAAAATCACAGAAGAAACGTCTTCTCCATTTCATGTGTTTACTTTGTAGCAAATGTTTTTGTTTTTTTCTTCACTTTTTGTTTTATTTTTCCACCTGTTGACAACATCTACTCAAGGACACAACAGATGGATTATATTACCTAATCCAAAAATGAAAAAGTACCTTCAAATGGTTTACGGCCTGAGGGATGCTCCAGTTGTGAGTCTGCAGAGCGGCCTGACACTCTTCCAGTGTGACACCATGTACTGCTCCTTGCACCTGCCAATCATACCACATTAAAGTTTAAAGAAACATGACTATGACCACTGGATTTCTTGGATTTTCATTTAAACAAATATAACTGCTCATATGAGAAAAAAAAATAAAAGTATTAGAATGCCATGTGCTCAGCATTCATAAAAATATCTTCCTGGCTGGCGATGACGACAGGAATCATGATTGAAGACGAATCAAATGTAAAATTATTGTTGTAATTGTAATTTTTTGTAACGTGATGTTATTCAAATAAGGAGAGAAAAGGAGAAATATGCAACACGCTGTGCATTTCCTCTCACTCTCCCTTACCTGTGTGATGCTTTGATCCTGTTGCATGCTGGGAGCCGCAGTTCGCCCGTTGTTGTTGTTGTAGGAGGAATTTGGCTTGGCCCCACCGGGCTGCTGCACCATCGGTTTGACAGCCGCCATGTTGGCTGCTCCGTATCTGATTAGCATAAAAACCACAGATACAAAATATAGTGATGTGGTTTTTATACTCAAGTGTGAATAAATATTTAAATAGATAACAGTGTTATTTTAGGAATAAAACTGCTCTTTCATTTGTGTTTTGCAAAGTCCGTACAACATGATTATAATAAATATTTCACATTTTATAAACACATTAATAATGTATACATGTATTTTTTATTTATATTTATTGACTGTCAAGGTCAATTAGCTAATGGAGATTGATGATATGAAGGAAATAGCTAATAAATGGTCGTTAAGGAGAGATTGTCAAGATTGAAGCTCAGTTTAAAAGTTTGTTATCTTGGTGAAAAATCAAAAAGGTTTTAAAACAAGTGTTAATGACATTTAATGATTTATAACTGATTCGACTCAGATGTATGTAATTGGTCACAGTTTGAGTCCAGTGTTTTATACTGTGGTTACAAAAACAAACTTCATTATTCATTGTAGTTTGTTTTTCTCTAATTATTATATTTTTATGTTATCGTTTTCATGTTGTTCCCAGTTACTTATAATTCATTTATTATTGTGTGTTTTATAATTGTCTAATAAGATTGAAGAATTTAATTATTCACTGTGTGGAGCTGGAGTCCAAGTAAACAAACCGTGCTGCTTATTGTGCCCTGCAGACTGAGCAGCGAAGACTATGCGCTGAAAATCTCTCCACGAGGTGACGTCACAGTCACATTGTCATGAAACCAACTCAATAACGGAGGTGGATTAAACCTTTGTAAAGAATAAAAGGCGCTCTTATTGCCTGAGTGAACAACACTTCACAAGGAGAGGAATCCAGCTCAGTCAGTCTTTTTATCGAGTGATGCTTGTTCTCCAGGTGTTACCTGAGCGTTTGTCTGGTGTTTCTCGTATTTTCGGACCAATTAAGAGTGAGCTGGCGAAGGTGTTTCATTATATAACATGCAGGAGTTGAATATGAAGATTTCCCATTGCCAACGAAACGATGCCGTCTCACCTTGCTTGAACTGAGTGATGTTAGTGGAAGTTTTTAAAAGGGGCTATTTCTAAGTTTTCTGTGCTGCTGCACTTCGTGTCTTGCCGGGCGTGGGTGGAATTTCTGAATTGAAGAGCTTCAGCCACTGTTGTCTTTATAATACAAGAGGTTATAATTAGGTTACTCTGAGGAGTGCTACATCTTTAGGGTGTATTGGTGGCGACAGTGAGTCGCTATCGGAAAGTGAGGAGACGGCTGGGGCTAGCTGGTTAGCATGCTAACTTCAGCAGAAGAAGAAGAAAAGTTGCCGTTGTGAAACAGCTGTTGGTGAGTAAAGGATCGAAGTTTGATGCTGAACTCGCAACATTTCTTCTAGACTGATGAGTAAACAGCTGTTAATGCTAATGTTAACTATGTAGCAATAGCAAAACTTACAAATAGCTCCTTTAATATGGCAAATACTTCAAGACTCACTTTGGCAAGTTTTTAAAACAAGAGAAGCTAAGGTTAGACCATAAAGGGAAATGTTTTTACTCTCAGTATTGTAGCCATTCTCGCTAGTGCACCATGCTGTTCTGAATTATTGCTGCCTATGTTGTTGTCCACATAAATACAAATTTTACATCGACCATTTGAAAAGCTTGTCTCTAATTCTAAACGAATATAAAACGAACCTTTCCAGAAAAGCTGGTCTCTCGGGCAGCGGGGCGGGAGCAGAGCTCTGGGAGCTGTCAATCAACGAGGACAGACCACGTCCCTCGCGAAAGGCAAGAGGTTCCAGTAAGGAGCTGGAGGAGTAGGAGGAGGAGGACCTGGGAGCTGCGAGGCGTGAAGGATGGGATGTGGCTTGAGGCAGGGAAGAGGAGGAGGAAGGGGAACTGGAGGACAGGAGGGGACCCAGGAGCCCAGACGCCCGGCGAGGGGAGACGGAGAGGGGAGGAGGAGGCAGCACCACGGGCGAGGAGGAGAGCGGCGGCACCAGCGGGAGGGGAGAGGAGGAGCGGGAGCCCGGCTGAGAGAAGGCGTGGTCTCTGGGTGGGATCTGGGGGGGCGTGTCCTCCTCGTCCCCCAGAGATATGGAGCTGGAGCGCGCCTGCGGGTGGGGGTTGCGGCTGGAGACGCCGTGTTTGGAGGGACGCAGCGGGGGGACGGGGCTGCGGGGAGGCAGCACAGGGCGGTCCTCGAAGCAGGAGGTGAAGGAGGAGGAGTAGGTGGAGGAGGGGGAGGGAGGAGGCAGGCAGATCTGTCGGTGGGGGGCCAAGGGAGCCAGAGGCATCGGGAGGGGGGAAGAAGGGAGGGAGCGACCGGTTGCCATGGGAACCTGCAGCTTCACCATCACCTACATCAACAGAGACAGACAGAAATATTAGCTCAGAATGAAAAACGTGTCTGCGCTAAAAGACAAAATCAGTCTGGAGCGACATTTACTTTATGATCACTGTGATTGAGTGAACGACTTCCTCTACCTCTCTCTGCAGTTCTTGGAAGAGGTCAGCTGATTGTGACTCGCTCCTGCCCGCAATACCACCACCGGGCGTGACCGCGGTCTCCTCTGTCAGTCCCCTGTTGATAGATCGCACCTCCTGGTCCTCCGATTGGTCCTCCAGCTCCGCAGCGACCTCGTCATACGCCGGCTGAGGCAGAGGCCAGTCCAGGATGGAGGGAGTGTCCTGAGGAGGAGAAGTTACAAAGACGATACGGGACATATTGAAACGAATGCCGATGTTTCGACAGTTTGGTCAAACTCCACCAAAACACTAAATCATTCAGCCACAGCTTGGCAGAGAAGATCGAAGGGAGACTGAGGCTCTGTGGTGGAATTAATGTGAAACCACAAAGTAAACCACTAAAGCAGGAGCGTGCACATGATCAATCAGTGATGCGCCAATCCATCACGCTGCACGGGTCTTGTGTGCATCCAAGGAGAAAGAGGTTATTTATGACATTTCTAGGCCAAAGGCTCGACCACCGCCTTCAGAGAATGCATGAATCCATTGTTGTTGACTGGTGTCGCGCATTTCATGCTCTTTTCACGCCTTCTTGAGTTAATGTGATTGAGGAAGATGTTTGATCGGATAGTGTGAGAGGTCTTAAAGACCTTTGAAATGCTGCACGATTGCTTCGTGCGGGAGTCGGCTGTGGTCAACTCTCCGAAACATCTGGAAAAATCAAGTTTGAAAAAGTGAATATAAAAGCCCCCCCCCTTTGCAGTTGCTGCACAGCCCCATTGAGGGAGTGGATGAACACATGAATACATTTAAAATAGTCCCTCCTATCAACCTGTCGTCAAAGTCAGACCCCTGGTGTGATTGTTCATCAAGTCACCCCTCGCAATTGAATGTGTATTTATTTTTAACTGGAGGAGGAAGCACACAGATAGTTTATGTGAGTAACAGTACTCAAGTAATACCACACTCCATTACAAGAAAAAGTTCTGCACTGAAAATCTCATTTGAGTAAACATATATAAGTATAATAAGGAAGATGTGCTTAATGGGGCTATATGTATGTTTTCTCTGCTGCTGATCGTGGTTTCTTGCTGGGAGCAGGTGGTGCAGATTGTCCCTTGAAAAGAGCTTCGGCCGTCACGTTCACAAAATGATGAGCAACGTGCCCCTCGCAGCGCTACGTCTTCAGGGCAGATTGGATCTACAGTGAGTCGCTATCGGAAAGTGACGAGACGGGCCGGGGCTAGCTGGCTAGCGTGCTAACTTCAGTTTAAGGAAAGAAGTGATCGAGACAAGACTGGTGTTGGCTTTCCACAGCTGGAGACAGCTGTTGGTGAGTAAAGGAATGAAGTTTGAGGGCTGAACTTGCAACATTTCTTCTTTTAGCTCTTAATGCTAACGCTGCTGGGTATGTAGCACTAGCAAAACTTACAAATAGCTCCATTAAATTAAAAAAAGTAAAGTTCCTCAATGAAGAAAACTGGCCCCTGTGACTGACATACTTCTATATACTATATCAGTAAATTATTAGTACTCATGTATTATTCTATAAGCAGCATTTTACTGCTGTAGCTGCTTGAGGAGAAGCTCATTTTTAAGTATGTTGTATAAACCTGCAAGTAATGATTATTTTCACTATTAATTAATATCAATCTCCTGACTATTCTCTCAATTAAATGATTTCGGTTTGTAAAAATTCAGAAAATAGTGAGATCACAACTGCTGAGAGACAACAGAGCACCCTTGACACTGTTTGTAGCTGAGTAAATGTCTAATTATACCTTCAGTGTGTCCTCATCCGGCTGCTGCGTCTCAGTGAGCGGTGAGGGCGTGGTGGAGCTGAAGCTGTCGTCGGTGAAGTCGATGAGCGACACCTCGCTTTTGGCCGAGCGCACACCGGACGCCTCCCAGGGCCGGAGCTTCAGACCCAGGGACACTCCCAGCCTCTTCAGCCCCGACGACGCGCTGGTGTCGTCATCGTCGTCGTAATCGTCCATCACCGAGTCGTAGAATGGCTCTACACGCACACACACACGCGCACACACACACACACACACACACACACACCAGAGTCAGAAAATAACAGCAGCATGCATCTAGAGGTCAGGAAAACACCTGGTGTGAAAAACTTACTCTTCAGCAGAACAGCAGGCTGAGGTGGACGAGGGGGAGGTTGCTCTGATAGACAGAAATATGATGTTACACTCCGATTTAACGAATGAGTCCAACAGGAAAGTGAGCACAGTTTTCTATATCATCGACATTTTAAACAACAAAAAAGAAAAAAAAAGCACATTTACAAAAACTGTAAGAAGAAAAAAAAAAAAAAAAACATTTACAAAAAATGTAAAAAAAAAAAAAAAAAAAAAAACCTCGGATATATTTACTCTTGGCACGGTTGGGAAGTTTGGTCGGTCTCGCAATACCCGAGTCCATTCCAAGGACATCCGGGGGGTCCATGGGGTTCCCCAAATACAGACTGGAAAATAAAAGCAGATTTAATGGATTAATGTGGCAGTAAATTCATTTAACACACTCACTTACATGAAGGCTACAAAGCAGGCCAAGCCATAGACCAGATGACTGCAGCCAATAAATACTGTTTGTTACTGACCTATAAATATACTCTTGCTAATGTAATTTCAGGCTTTTTTTTCTGGGCTTGCAGACGTCACAGGAAGCTCTGGATGTGAGTGTATTAAAAAAATAAATAAATAATAATAAAAAAAATATATATATGTCTGCTAAAGAACGACAGGTGGTGCTCTGCTGCGCTCCAGTGGAGAGTTGTAGCACAAGAAATGTTACAAAAGCACACACACATGGTTCAAGCTTAATTACACAGCATTTAGTGGTATAATCAAGTTTGTTGCTTATAATGAACTGTTTTTATATTGTTAGTCGCCACTTAATTAAAGGGAAAACTAGATTTAGATAATGTAGATCAGTTGTTTAAGATATATCTGAGAGGGTCACAAGATGATTAAAGGAATCATCTGCTATTTCTACAGAATAATGTCTTCATGTATTCTGATTGTTTTTGCCTTATTCTTCCTTATTGAAACACTGGATTTACTTGCTCCTCTTAAAGTCAAGCAGACATCGCTTTAGTTAAAGGGGTCACAAAAAGGTTGGGAACCGCTGACCTGGATCGATACTGTATATGAACCGTGCCTCATGGAGGAAAACAGTCAGACTTGTTCACACAACCCGAGTTATTCTGCTTCTTTCAAACTGCTGACTGAGAAAATTAACTGGCAGCTGTTTTGATAAGTGACTAATATTTGCTGGTTCCAGCTTCTAAAATATGAGAAGTTGCAGCTTGTTTGAATCATATATGATGGTAAATGAAATATGTTTTGGTTTTAGAATTAAAAGTCACCAATTTAAAGGCTCTGAAAAGTTGCAATGTGTGTGTTTGTGTGTTTCACAGACCGAACGATTAATCGAATAAATACTCTGCAAATGAACTGATAAAAAAGAAGTTAGTTAGTTGCAGCTCTAGTCTAAAGTAGTGCAGACAAACCTATTGATTGCAGAGTTAACACAGTGTTGTAGTGGAGTATAACAAGCAGCTTAAATTGAACCCGAGAATAAAAACTTCGATCAGCCATTTTAATTGACGCTACAGGGATAAAGCCGCGGTGGCGATGTTGATGACTGCGTAGTATCAACCTGTCTATGCGGTCTGCGTGGCCCCAGCTCCTGTGAGGGTCCGTGTCTCCGTGTCCCGTGTGGATGAACGAGTGTTTGAGCGGTCGGCTGATGTCGTGGGCGGACAGCCCGGCGACCGACGTCACCACGTGACGGGGAAACTGACCGACACGCAGCGTCCGCCTGCTCTGACCTCGCCACCAGTAATGCTCTGCCCTGAACACACACACACACACACACACAGATACATACACACACACAGATACATACAGACATAAAAACAACACAACAGTGAGGAGACTTCTCTGTTTACCACCTAACATCTCAGACTGCTGCAGTAATTCCTATAATATGTATCATCATATTCTAGTGCAGATTAAATTCAACGATAATAGGATTTTCCTGACTATAACAAACTGTCACATGAATACACTTATATAAATGACAGTGGAAATCTGATAACATCTTGTTAAGTTGTGCGTTTTAATTCAGGCTAAACAGATGTGTGTCTGTTCCATCAGCAGGAGCCACAATATTTCTATAATGAGCAGTAACGAGACAGTAATTACAGTAATTCTCCACAATGCAAAGAATCCAGTGTCAACAACTGATGCATTTGTTGTGCTGCAGGAATGACCTTAGCTTTTCACTGACAAACACACACACGCACGCACACACACACACACACACACACACACACTGCCTTACAAACCCAGTTGTTCTGTATAAATGTACAAGAATGAGGCTGAAGCGACGCCGTGACATTCCTCTAGGGAAGCTGCATGCGTTTGCTCACAAACCCATCACACACACACTGACCTCCCCTCTATGATGGTGATGACGTCGTTCATTTTAATCTCCAGCTTGTCTTCCTCCTCAAAGTCCTGCAGGGCCCTCATGTCCGTGGGCATCGTCTGCAGAGCACAGGGACACACACACACACACACACACATGAATAATGACTGATCACCAGCGGCATCACAGAGACAAAGAGAAAGAAAAAAACTAAAAACACTTCATGTCATTTTGTATAATGGTGATTTATCCGTTTCCACTTTATTGTCCTTTATTCGCCCGGTGCGTGACTTTGTTTTCTGTCTGAGCTGCTGAAACACAATTAATTGGAGTGCTCGATTTAATTAAAATTAAATTGTGTCCAAATTTGGGAGCCTGGAGGATTAAGTCCTGGACTTGGAACCGGCCCTGTTTGAAGTCCGGGCCAGGGACTCGCTTCCTGACATTTCTCTAGTGTCACGTCTCTAATAAAGGCAAAAAAAAAATAAAATCTTTCTTACAAACTGTGCTGATTTGTTCTGTTTGGTGAAAATGATGAACTGGTTGCCTTGTTCAGAATATCAATAAAATTTAGCAGATGTGATTAAATTCTTTGCTTTTTAGGTCTCAAAACTCTTTATCACTTATATTTGACTTGCACGGCCTCATTCACTGACCCTTACCCTCCTGTTACACTCAGTAGACTCATTTAAATACATGCTAAACTGCAGGAATATATGATAAATTGCAAACTAACAAAATTTCAAAACCTACAGTTTGAGCTGGTACAGTGAGCTGGCTGATGCTTCTTATGGTAACAACCCAAAAAAACTTTTAAGATTTAAGATGCAAAAGCTTTTATCAGGTTTAGTTTTGACTGAAGCTTGCGTGCCACCTCCAGCAGGAAGTCTCTGAGGGCGATGAAGGTCGGTCTGTCCTCGGGTTTGGGGCTCCAGCACTGCAGCATGACGTTGTAGACGTCCTGAGGACAGTCGTCTGGTTTGCACAGCCTCTCTGCCTCCACGTCCACCTTGTGGAGGATCTGCAAACACACACACATACACACACACACGTGCATAAAAAATAATAACATACTGAAAAATGGATTAAAGCTTTTACTATGTAAGTTTTAAATAATTTTGTGTGCAAATGCATGTACCTGGCTCCCATTAAGGCCCAGCCACGGCTCCTGTCCGTGGGTGAACATCTCCCACAGAGTGACCCCGAACATCCAGGTATCAGACGCGTGAGAGAAAGTACGAGACTTGAGAGACTCTGGAGCACACCTGCAGGGAAACAAGGACGAAGATACAGAGAAGAAGAGACACGATGTGAATGTCAAAGCTTTTAAAGCTGCGGAGAGATTTCGGAATGAGTCACAGAACCAGGTGAGAAAATTACATCTTAAAAACTACAAATTATTCTGTGGGAGCAGACGCATCTCCTCACCATGGGAAGGGGATTTTGTGGCCCTCCTCCATGATGTATTGGTCGGTGTGCGTTGGCAGCGCCCTCATCAGGCCAAAGTCTCCGATCTTCACCGTCTCATTGGTGGACAGCAGAACGTTGCGGGCGGCCAGGTCTCTGTGGAGGAAACGCTTCTGCTCCAGGTAGGCCATGCCACAGGCCACCTACACATGCGTATACACACACAGACAGGAAGTTAACCAAACACACGTACATATACGCACAAACAACACGCTAATGACACGGACGGCTCATTACCAGTTCATGTGTCAGATGGTGACAGATTATGTGACGGAGAAGAAAATTTCCTTCATATGAAAAACACACCTGCCAATATGAAATCAGCTAAAAATAAAGTAGATAGAAATATAGAAATAGATTTCAAGATTTCCTAAACATAATCAACTTTGACTTGATTATGTATAGGACTGCAACTAAATTATTTTCATTATCGATCTTTAGTCTGTAAAATATCAGTAAATAGTGAACAACAACATCGTTTGGTCATTCTTCCATCAAAAATGTGATTATCAAAATAGTTGCTCCTTACTTTTCTGTCAATCAACTACTCGATTAATCAAACAATCACTGCAGCTCTATTTCTGTTTGTTTCTTTACTTATAGAAGAATTGTGTTTTTTGTCATGAGCAGAAAATGAAAAGAAACTCAAACATCAGGGTTCTGGTCCAAACTGTTTCACAAACATCTGGGCACTGAACCAAAGATGTGATGAAATTAAAGAAAAAGAGGAACTTGTGGGTTTTCGCTTCAACTTTCTCCCGTCTTTGTTTTTCTCTTTTCCTTTGTGAGTGTTAACGGACCTGCACGGCGTAGTTACAGAGGGAGGAGATGAGGATGTGACCCTGACGCTTCCTGAGACGATCCAACAGGGAGCCCAGAGGGGCCAGCTCCGTCAACTACACACAAACACACACCAACATATGCACAGAGCTCAGTATATTCATATAATATGAGACTAACCCATACAGAACTTAGACTAAATCTAAACGCTGTATGGGTTTGTGTGTCCTTAATGAGGAGGACACTAAATACAGGAAGTTGAAATATGTAAGAAAGTCAGTCTGTGTGTGTTTATACATGTACATGTTTGAGAATTAGTGTGTGTGTGTGTTTCACCATCTTCATGGGCTGTGTGAGGACGACGCCGTACAGCCGGATCAGGTTCTGGTGGCTCAGTGAATGCATGGCGTTCACCTCTCTGATGAAATCGTCCAGACCGTCTGAGTCTAACACGCCTGCCTTCAGACACTTCACTGCCACGGACAGCTGGAGGGACGCAGAGGGAGAGGTAACATCAGCTCAACACAAAGTTAACACAGAACCAGTGGGGTTTCATTTTTATTTTTCTTCCCATAATCCTCTCTGCCGTGTCTCCGCATCTCACCACTATGCCGTTGGGACCCGTCCACTCTCCTCTGCGCACCACTCCGAACGTGCCGTCCCCCAGCCGCTCAAACAGCTGCAGCTCCGACTCTCTGATCAGGCAGGTGAGGGAGGCTCCCGGCTCGCTAGTGGCCGGGGCCTGGGTGGATGACGCCGCCTGGGGGAGGGGCTGCTGGGGGTCGCCGTCGGATCGTTTCACCGGGAACACCTGCCAGGGAAATACAGGTTACAGGTTTTCATTAATACCACGCCACCTTACTCTGACTCTGTCATCCATGTGTTTGTGTCCTTTTAAAAACATGAAACCCCTGTTTTCTTACTGGATGTTACTCTGAATCAGCCTGTTTAACATGTTTCAGGGAACTCTGCCGCGCTGCAGGTGCATGAAACTGCAGTTTTCCCTTTCAAATATGACGCCAGGAGCTTCATGAGCCGCTAAGATGTTGGGCTGAAGCAGGAAAAAGTAAATATTCTGATTTTATAAGATAGTTTTTGAGAGAAATAAAGTTATGGCTGTAATTCTTCCACATCTCTCTTCTATCCACACCCTGTAACCGTGTGAGCGACAGATTGTCAGCCTTGAAATATCTAGAGAATTAGCTCCGCTGGTGGAGAGATATTGAGGTTAGGGAGTCAGAGAACAGATGTGTGTGTGTGTGAAAAAAAAAAAAAAGGAATTTGATATTTTTTGGATCCGTGTGAGGAAATTTTCCCTCTCAGAACGCAGGATTATCTCTGGTTGAAACGCTGCCTGTGCGATGCGAAATATTTGTGACGTGTGAGTGTGTGTTTGCACCTTGCTCATCCAGGACTTGCGTTTATAAAGGGCTCTTCTCCTCTTGACCGCCTCCCACAGCCTCCGCTGACCTGAACAATCACAAACACAAACGTTGAAAACACTTGAACTTGAATTTCTCTGTGTATATTTATATATTTTCCCCAACAGTGGGCTTCGTGACAGATGTAAGGTAGCATGACCTACCCGGGCGCCCCATGCCGATCTTCTCCAGGTCTTCGTTCTTGACGTAGTCGAAGTGGGAGAGTCGCGTGACGTTGAGCTCATCGCGGATCCGCAGGAAGTACTGCTGCAGCTGGACGTCTGTCAGCAGCTCCAGCAGCCACTCTGTCCCCTCCTCACTCTGCATCTGCACGCACACACACAAACACACACACAAACACACACACATTTCACCTGTGTTACTGCACATGTTAGGACACGTTCAGTGTCTGTTTCCTGAGCCTTAGTTGTTTACAAGACACAATTCTAACCTCGTTTTAAATATTTAGCATGTGATGCTAATGGACACTGCTAATGGACACACTGTAATGTGCAGGGGAAATGGAGAAGCTAGCGTCTTGTTGCCGTGCATCATTTCATGCAGGCCTGCAACTAATGATTACTTTCATTATCGATTAATCTACCAAGCATTTTCTCGATTAAGTGATTAATCCTCTTGTTGATAAAATGTCACAGAAGTGTCCAAATGTCTTTTGGCTTTCCGAAGATATTCAATTTATAATGATCTAAAACTGAGAAAAAAAAAAAATCCTCACATCTGACAAGCTGGAAGAATTTAGGGACTTTTATCTTTAAAAGAACGACTTAAAAGATTCATGATTATCAGTCGATAGTTACAACGATCGACTAATTAATTAACTGACCAATCGTTGCAGCTCTAGCCGGAGGATTTATGAACACGAGTTGGATTAAAAGCATCAGTGTTTAGTGCGGTTACTCAGTGGGATGTTCATGGACACACACACCACATTTTATTTCTTGCCTAAATACAGGAAAGTTCAGCTTCTGACACTTTTACAGCTAGCAGTGAGTTAGCTTAGCTTAGCTTAGTTTAGCACACAGGCTGCAAACAGGGGAAATTTTGTACAAATTGAACAAACAAAGATTTTTAACGAGCTGCTTAATGAGCTTTAGAGATGCTGGTAGGTGGATGTTGTTAGCTTTGGTTAGAGCCAGGCTAGCAGTTTCCCCCTGTTTCCAGTCTTTTATGCTATGCTAATATTAGCTAATCGGCTGCTGGTTCTTGCTTTATATTTCGCGTACAGACATGAGAGTGGTATCAACCTTCTCATCTCTCTCTCAGAAAGAAAGCAGGTAGCCTCATTTCCAAAATGTCAAATTTAATTTGTCGCCTTAGCGTCGTTTTTCACATAAACACCTGCCACAAACAAACACTAACGAAGGTATCGTATGTAGTGAGCAGGACGTTTTACCACAAAATAATTAACATGTCATTGCTCCCTGGTGGACGAACTATGTAACTACTATCTAACCTTGGTGGAGATAAACAGTCCTCGGTCTAAACTGGTAAACAGACAGTATCACAGGTAGACATCGCTTTGTGTTAAAGATAAAGAATTAAAAAAGGCTTCATCCAAACTTCATCCAAACTGAAATCAGATCAGCTTTTGTCTGCAGTTGCCACCCAACAATAAACCGCATCAATACACACACACACACACACACCCAAAAGAAAATCTCCATCCTGCCTACAAAACTGAACCCCTAGACTCCCGACTGCACAGACACAAACACACACACACACACACACACTCGGCATCAACACACAAACACAAACATGTACAGAACAAAAACGAGTGCGTGTTCACCCACAACTTCAGACTTTACCATTTGTCCCCCGACACTTTCCCTGATCCTCCTGTCTCTCTCCTCTTCGTCCTCATCCTCCCCCTCCTCCTCTCCTCTGGTGTAGGGGAGTCGCTGGTACATATAGCTCTCCCCCATACTGTAACAGCTCCTCTTGTCCTTCGCCTTGTCTCTGTCTCTCTCTCTATTTTTTTTTTGGCTCTCCTTTCTCTGTCTAGCTGCTATTCAGAGGAGGTGTTAGCTCGAACGCCGTGCTCCCCGGGCTCTGAGTCTAGTTTTGCTAATCTCCTCTCGGCTCCATGACCTTCTCTGCTCAATCGATACGCGCATGCACACACAAACACACCGGGAGGCATTTGACGCCACTCTCTCCAGTCGTATCACCTAAAGCTATCTATAAACCGTCTCCGTCTTCCCTCCCACTGGTTCTCTCTCTCCCTGCTGACTCACGACTTCCTGCAGCGTCGGACACCTCCATACTTCCCCCTCTCTCTCCATCTTTTCATCTCCTCTCTAGCTCTCTTTCTCCATCTCCATCCTGGCTCAGCAGCCGAGCCCACACGGTCTAATGTTAAATAATTCAGCAGCTCTAACAAGAGGATGAGAGGGAGAGGGAGAGGGAGAGGGAGATGCTGGAGGAGGGAGGGGAGAAAATGTAGATGCAAATAGGTGGACAGATGGATTGGTAAATGGATGGATGGTCAAGCCAAAATAATAATAATAAAAAAAAAAAAAGATAGTTCCCAGCATGCGTTTGAACGATGCAGATGGTAGTCGTGCTTGACATCAACCCAAATAAAGCATAATATTTATGAAGGGATGGGAGGATAATGATATGCTATGTATGGCTGATTTGAACAGATTTCAGGATCAGGATTTTTAAAGAAACAATTGCATTAATTAATAGAATAGCAGATTAGATAGTTAATTGTTTAATTACTTAAGTCATTTATTAATTAAGTGTGAACACCCACTGGTTCCAGCTTCTCAGCTTTTCTCTCATTTGTATCATTGTAAATTTATAGTGTTCGGGTTTTGGGCTGTTTGTAATTGTCATTTTTTAATATTTTCTGACATTTAATAGAATAAAAAATGAATCCAGTAATTGAAAAAAAATTGCAACAAATTAGTCTATGATGAAAATACTCATTAGTTGCAGCACTAAATCCATCATTTATGGCCTTTATCAAGCAGAAAGGTAAAACAGCTGCTGGTTTTAGCTTTTCAAATGTGAGGATTCGCTCCTTCTGTGGTAAGTTAAATGTTGTTCGGGTTTTCAGCTGCTGATTGGACAAAACAAGAGATTTAAAGATGCCGCATTGGACTCTGGGAAGTTGTGACTGGCAGCTTTATTAAATTTTATGAACTAAATCATTGATCAATTAATCAAAAACGATAATTCAGACGTGAAACAATAATTAAACCAGTCATTACATGAAGCCCTTTTTTTTATCCGTGATAGTGGACGGTAATGTCAGACTGTCAGTCCATCCGCCGCTTTCTCTACAACTACTGGATGGATTGCCATGAAATTTTCCACACACATTCCTGGTCCCCAGAGGATGAATTGCACTGACTTTGGTGATGTACTGACTCTTCATCTGGCGCCACCCTGAGGTTTTGACATAAATTTCTCAAGAACAATTAAATTGACAATTTTCGTGCCATGAATTTTTGTACAGACATCCATGTTGCTTTGATTTGTGGCATTCCTGCTCCCGTCACAGAGCCAAAATTACCAGGGTTTCAGAGTTTGGATGGTAGCCTCTTAAACATTTCTTAGGACCAAGGACTCCAGCTGAGGACATTTAGACTCATGACCTCAGTATTATTTCTAAAATGAAGGGTTTGGCCCTGGATATGAGGACCATGTTTGGGTACTGACTGCACAGCTCTGCTAGTAACAGCTGATACAGATGTGGCCTTGACTGAATGTAGTAGATGTCAGAGACACTGCATCATTAATCGTGTAGATATTGTAGATTGTGATCAAATGAAATAATGACGAGAGAGAGATACTGAGCTTTAAAATTTGTAACACATGACAGCAAAGACAGGCTAACTGGTGCATGAACTGCAGCAGCCACTGCAGTGTGTGTATGAAATATACGCCTGTACATTTCATATATATATATATGTGTGTGTGTGTGTGTGTGTGTGTGTGTGTGTGTGTGTGCTCGTGTGGCCTGAATGAGCACAAAATCAGAGCTTTCATCTCAGCGTGGACGTGTTGTATCGAGGGCGATGCTCTAAAAATAGAGAAACTAAATTTAGCTTCCATTCAGTGGCGTGAAAAGTGAAGTGGTGTGAACAGAGCTGCCTCACTCTCCTCTCATCTCATCTCATCTCAGCATCAAATACCTGAGACTCTCAGACACACTCATGTTTCCCTGTATGATGTGGATGAGGATTTATTCTGTGTTTTCCGGCTCACTGCCATCTGCTTTGACCACTGGCTAGTTACAGACATGCAGCGCGGGAACAGCACTTCTTCAGAGCAGTGTTCCTGTAATTTGGTACCAAAGCAAAATGGAGAGGGAACATTCAACAGCGGCTGACATGCAAATGTTAGAAAATATAGAAGAAATGCCATTTTTACATTTCATATATGACATGAGGAAAACAGAAACTGTCTCATTTCAGAAGCTGGAACCAGAGAAACTTTGGGGGGTTTTAGTGTTTATAGTGTCTGAATAATTTTCTGTCCATCCACAAATTGATTCAATGACTAATTGTTGCAGCTCTTCAGCCTCTGGCCTACAATAGAAAAATACTCTACAAAAAAGGGAGTTTTTAATACAATCTGGCCAGGAGTAAGAAATTAGTGCAATTATAACATGGAGAAAATTGTTAGTGCACATGTTTAAAAAAACATTTTTCTTCTCATCATTAATCTAACAGACAAAAAACATGATTATGTTGTTTAGAGATTCTTTGGTACTTGAAATTTCAAATTTGCTAATAAACCAATGAAAATACAGAACAGATAGAGATTGGTATTTTGAGATATGGATGTTGCAGAATTGTCATTCCTTTATCAAGGCTTGAGATTAGTGTGTTTTTACTGTAACTGACACTATCTGTGTGAGTGAGGACGTTGCTATTTTATTCATACTGACACCTAAGACTGACAACATACATAAAAGTGTGAATTTGTACTTTAAGCGTGAGAGAGTGATGGTATTTATCATTTACAGAAGAAGTGGGGATGCACAGTGAAGGCCACAGTGTGTTTGTCTCACCCTGTCTTCTGGTGGATCAGGGATTAAAGCTGCAGTCAGGAGTGACTGAGGTCACTGGAGGTCACCTGGAGAAGGCCATGGATGGAGGGACCCCTCATCTACACACGCACATAATGACATGAGAAAGAGGGAGTCAGCATTTCATTTCAGAAACATGCACAAGACATGTATCACTGAACTGAGAGAGAGAGAGAGAGAGAGAGAGAGAGAGAGAGAGAGAAAATGACAGGGAGGCTCAGAAACCCAAATTTAATCTTGTCCAATCAAATTGTGAATA